TGGAAAAAAAATGTCAAGTGAACAGCATTAAGTTTTTTAAAGTGTTTAGAGGAAAATTTACGAAAGTTCTAGTCTTTAGGCTTAGTTTTTTATATCAACTTACCATATATACTTGAGTATCAGCCAACCTGAATATCAGCTAAGGCACCTAATTTTATCACAGAAACTGCATTAAAAACGTGCTGAAAAACCTCAGCTTATTCACGAGTATATATGTATTAAAATCTGTCACCAATATTAGGAAGATTTTTTGATGAAAAATGTCCATTTAATTTCCCAAATTAAGGTCAGTTGAAGGGACGGTTGGAGTTAAAGAGGCTAACATTAATCATGAAAATATATCCAATGATTTCAACAACTCTAATTATAAATTTAAAAATACAACTATTCCTTATGAGCCTTGTTAAACTGATAACGCTATGTTTTGAGCAACAAATAACCTTTGTTGAGAAATGGATGGATGAAAAGTGGGAGAACATGCAGGAACATACTCTTTTTGTCCTTTTCCTTACTTGGTAAGTAGTCATAAAATACAGTTAACAATGTAATCTGAGGTGGGTGGTGGGGATAACCATTCAATCATTATAATGTTTCATGCTTTCTTTCCATTGTCTCCTCCTTGGAAAAGCTCTAAGTCATTCTCTGGTAAAGGCAAAGAGAGGAAGGAAAAATACATAGAAGAGAAGAACCAATTTTAAAAAATCTATTACAAGTCTGACACTTAAGCCCTGATGTATGTTGTCTTCAAATAAGCTGAGTCTTATTTCCCCACTTTACAATCAGAAACTGAGGCTTAGAGAAATTAATCCAAGTATCTGTATTTAATCAATATAATAAATGTTACATATTTCAAATGTCAAAGTCCCTGTCCTTTTTATTATACCAATCTGTTTAGAATTTTCAATCTCTGGCAAAATAAAGAAAAGGAACAACATTTATAACCTTTGTTTAATTCTACAGTTCCGTGAAAGCATGTCCATTCAAGAAGCCCCACTGTTCTTTGTTGATAGCCTGCCCCTTTCTTCTCCCTCTTATCTTCTCCTTCATATCTCTAGGTAGACGATAGCTACCATAGTAAATTTATCATTAGAATTTCAAACTGAAACTTAAGTAAATTTATCATTAGAATTTCAAACCGAAACTCTTCTCTTTTTTTAAATTATTATTGAGGTACCTACCCTATTACAGATTGCAAAGGGGGTTTTGGACAAGGATTAAACCACCTCCTAAACTTTCTGCGTTGTAAGGCAATAAGAATTAATATTTTGTGAGTTAGATTGTTCCACCCAATTTGACCATATCATTCAAAGTGCTGTCTGTTGATGATATTTCCTCTGCACAACAGCCCTTGGGATGATTATTGCATTCTACTTTGCATATGAGAAAAACAAAACTTAGAGAATTGATATGCTCATTAATTGGCAGATTCTAACTCAGATTTGACCCTAGCCTGAAGTCTCTCCACTCTAATCAAAAGGCAAAAAATGTATGTGCTATATTTATGAAGGATTGTATTCTTGGGGACTTTGATTTATAGCATGTTTGATTTTTACAAATATATGATATTGTCTTGGTTTATGCCTGTTCTTGACTAGGATTTTGGATAAAAAGAGGATTAAAGATTGTTTCTTACAAGCTCCTGGGAAGCATGGATAGTAAAATTTAATCTTATGTACTTTGGACATGTTATCAAGAGAGACTAACCATTGGCAAAGGACTTGGGACAGCGGTTGGTAAAGGGTCA